GAGCACACAGTCAGAGGAAAAATACACTTCAGGCCCCATGCCGGCTCCCCATCTCTGAGCAGACAGTCAGAGGAAAACACACTTCAGGCCCTATGCCAACACCAAACCGTCGCCCGGGACGGATCGGATCTATCCCTACGTCCCGTAGCGGAAAGGACCACTAGGTAAGTACAAAACCAGTGAACATACATATATTGAAAATCAACTTCATAGTATAAAGTCATCCATCATCTATACTATAAAGAGGTGTTCTAAACATGTTCTAAATATCATATCGTCATCCATTAGATATTCTATAAGAACATGGGTTATAGGAAAAATAGTAATAATTCAAACTAGCCTCAGTAAGCATATTATCTCAAAACGTTTCATAAAACATAATCGTAAAGTCATGCTTTTCTGTGTATGCAATTCTACCATTAAAACATGCATTTTTAGAAGGGGTCCACTCACCGTACACCGATGGTGCAAGCCGTACCAAACAGGAGTAACGAAATCTCCGCTAAGAATCGCACCTAAACACACAATTGTTACTTTCAGTCAAACTCTACTCAAACGATTGAATTTGGGAAAACGAACATCGGAAACGGGTTCAGAACGTCGAAATTAGCCTAGGATGGGTCCCGCACGAAAACCCAAAAAGTCAACGGTCAAAGGCAACGGTGACCGTTGACCGGTCAAAGTCAACGTTGACCGTTGACCGGGTCAACGGGTCACGGTCAACGGGTCAACGGGTCAGGGTCATGGGTCACGGGTCAGGGTCATGGGTCATGGGTTTTGGGTTAGGGTTGTGGGTTAGGCTTTTGGGCTAACAGAAAATGGGTTTGGGTTTTTGAACCTCACGGCCCAAGGCCTAATTAAAAAGGGGAAATGGGTTTGGGCTGCAACCAAGGCCCTAAGGCCTTTTGGGTTTTTAAAAGAAATAACTAAAAATAAAAACTGAAAGGGTGAGGGTATTGGGCCAAAGACCAAACGGGCCTAAGGCCCGTGGGTGTGGGTAGAGAACGGCCCGAAGGCCTGGGTGCGCCGGAGAAGACCACCGGAGCTTCCACAGCTCCGGCCGACGCCAAACCTACAACCTAGACCCCGATCTAGGTACCAAAATGAAGCACTAGCCGAGAGGAGTAGTTTTATACCTTGGGTTCGCCGTGTAACGGCTTGTGGTGGCCGGAAAATCCCTCGGAAAACACGCACTCGCCGGAAAATTGGGTGTACCTCCACCCTTGCCAAAAACACTCCAAAACCTTGAAAATTCATGAACCCAACTCAGTAACTACATTTAACCAACCTCTAACAAGACTAAGAAGGGAGAAACCATGCTTACCCAACCGGAAAACAAGCTAAATTCGCCGGAGGTGCTCGTACCCTCTTGGCGCCGTGAGCAAGGGAGAGAGAGAGAGCTAAGGTTTGGTGATGATGATGGTGGCTGTGTCCTCAAGCAGGTGCAACAATGGGTGTGTGTGTGTGTGTGTCTTTCACGGGTAGAAGAGGAAGAAGAGGAAAGAGAGAGTTTTTGAGAGAGAGAGAAAGGAAAGATGCAGACAAACCAAAAGAAAAGAAAAGACAAGAAAAGAAAAGAAAAAGGAGAAGAAGAAAAAGGTGTCACGGAAGGGGGGGGACAAAAGAGAAAAAGTAAGGGAGTTGGGGTGCTGCCACGTGGCAGCCTAGGTGATAGGGTAATAATTTAAATTTTCAGATCTTGATTGGGTGACAAAAAGAGGACTAAAGTGATAATTCTATAAATTTTTAGGGAGAATTACAGAATTATCCTTATAAGCAGGGGCGGGTGTAACAACACCCCTATAAATATCACTCCATTTCTCCAAAAACCGGAGGGGAATCCTCTTGCAAAATTCTCTAAATTCTCCAAACACTTTCCCTCAAAATTCTAACTTTGGCATCAGAGGTTCTTCAGTCAAAGCCCACCCATTCATCGTGGGCGCGTGAGGCTCTTGGCCTTGACCTAAGGTGTTAATTGTTTTTGAAGGTGCATTTTCGTCCAAGAACAAGAAGGAAGAAATTTGCATCCAATAATTGGTGCTTTCATTGAGAGTCTTGATCAAACGCTCGTAGAAGACTCTCGCATTCAAGCTTTTTCGTTCTCTTGTTCACTTGTAGATTTTTCGTACGTTCTTATTCTTGGAATCTTTTTTTTAAATTCTTCAATAAAACATAAAAGAACAATACATTGGCAAGAGATTCGGAAACCTCGACAAACGAAAATTCCAACGTTCAAGGATTAGGACCGTGGTGATCTATGAGGCTCAACACAATGATGAGTAGAGCGGCACCACCCCCACGGGGCACCACCGTGGCCAGCACGGCAAGGCCCACGGTGCCACAACCACGGTCCAAGCAGTGCCATTCAAGCGCACATGGGCATAAGCCCAAGGCGAGATGGCCCGAGCCACTCAAGCCCGAGGCGAACCCAATACGTTGCCAAGCAAGCCCTAGCTTCGCACCCACGTGGGCCACACACTGAGCATCTCACTCCCATGGCCTAGCCTACTCCCGTGGCCTTTCAAGCAGCCCAAATCAGTCCAAGATTAGTTCAACCGTCGCGGCTTCAAATTTCTAGGCCTACAATTGAACTAGGGGCATTTTCACCACATTTCTCCGCTGATTTGACATTTCCCAACTCAAATCTCGCGCCCGGAGTCTACCACACTTCCATTACTTAAGGAGACGCATTCCTTCCAAGCTCTTCTAACCCAAATGGAGTGTCACATCCCAGCCCGGGGCGGACCACTTCCCGGGTCCGACTCCACCACCGTAGCACGATATTGTCCGCTTTGGGCTTACCATTCCCTCACGGTTTTGTTTTTTGGGAACTCACGAGCAACTTCCCAGTGGGTCACCCATCATGGGATTGCTCAAGCCCCCTTCTCGCTTAACTTCGGAGTTCCTATGGAACCCGAAGCCAGTGAGCTCCCAAAAGGCCTCGTGCTAGGTAGGGATGGGAATATACATATAAGGATCACTCCCCTTGGTGATGTGGGATGTGGGATGTCACATGGAGGACAACACTTGTCTTGATAAGTCATAGAATAGACTAGCGCCCTCACACAGTAGACGACCTTGGTGAATCAACTCTTGCAGTGTACCAAGATGCAACGTGCCCCAAATGAGGTTTCCTGAAGTAAGACAAGGGTAGACGAAGAACCTCTTCAGCAGCGTCCCGGCAAGCAGCCACTCGACCAACCATGAACCGAGCGTTAGGGCAATGTGCACTCTCGACTAGGCCCACGGACAAGCATACATTCACGGTTGGGGCCACATTCCGATAGTCAACATGAGCAACCTTCCAAGCGAAATGTTCATTTGTGGCTAGGCCTGCAAGGAGCATCATCCACCTTACATCGGAGTAGGCAGCACGAAGGACGGAGAGAAGCAGTTACTCAGTCCGGCTCAAGCTCAACCAGCAGCTTACGAAGAATTTCCTCGTCTACTAGGAATGAACCACATGCACCACAATAGCGGCATAGACGAGCCAATCACGTAAAAAAGCAGCCTAGACCAGTAGCTCACGACCGAGGGTAGCCGAGAACTCTATTACCCCCAACAAAGGCAAATTCAAGAAGAAATAGAAAGGTTCATGACCGAGCGATTGCGTGATTTCCAACACAACAAGGTCACTAACGAGGCACTATGATGAGACATGACCAACATAAGCAGGTCACCCTTCACGGACGAGATTAAGCAGGCAGAGCCTTCATGCAAGTTCAGCATGCCACATTTCACATCCTTCAAAGGGGATGGAGACCTAGAGAGACACCTAAAGCACTACTGAAGCGCAATAATCCTCTATTAAAACAACGACAATCTCATGTACAAGATATTCGCGAGTCTTCATATGAATAATCCTTTGTGTTGACCATATCTTCTCTTTATCTTTTTTTTTTTTTGTTTTTTTTTTTTTCGTGTAAGCAAGTCAGCAATGTTGCACCTCTATTTTCTTATGTGTAGGTTGAAAGCCGAATGGTTAAGAAAATATTATTTTTCTTAACAAAAGGAAATGGCCATGTGCTTAATAGTTGATACCATATTAATTAATTCATTTCTAGACTTCTCCATAAACACATAAGAAATAGTATTTTACTATTTAGTGACAATATTGATATATTTGTTTACATACTATCTAATACAAGTGAGCATGAGCGCATCCACGTAGAGACCAGTGTGGTTCCGAGACCTAATGAAGCCTATGAAACAAGTTTGTGAAGGTCCTCCGAGAACGATCCGAACCAGTACGAGACTCTTTTGTGCCGACTAACTGTTTGATGAAATGCATATTCGGCATCACACACAGGAAGAGTCGACAAAACTAGGCAAGAAGTCTCAACAACACTTGGCAGTTGACAGGTGCGCATCATGGCTAACAACCAAGTACCCGATGAAGTGCCTCATTGGAAAAAGTTTGAGCGCTTTGTGTGCTATTTCTATCTAAAAAACCTTGCACACCGAGGACCACCCTCCCCCCCCCCCCCCAAATATAATTCTAAATCCGTCATTGCAAGTGCATTTTGCATATGATAAGTAGGAAAAATACATATCTAATAAAAAGCGCGTTGCAGTTATTTTTATGTATATATGTTGTGTGATACACAACTCAATTAAAACAATAAGACTGATTTACTATATAATTTGCATGACAAGTTTATAGAGTCTCGTTCTATTTATCACTTGAGTGACTGATTAAGATTTCATAGGCCTTTACCTTTAAATTTTATATCAACTAATGTACTTTTAATGTTCCTTGATCAGCTCTATGAGAAATAGCACAGCATCACAAACAATAGACAAGACTACATTCTCGATTTACTACAAATTTGGGCATCAGGCCCATTTATAGTTGAAAATATAGATTGGGCTTGGAGTGGACCATAAAACTGCTTAATGGCTGTGGCCCAAACGATGTTGGTTTTGGGCCAACCCAACCGATCCGATCAGACACAAAACAAACCATACCGAGAGAGGGAGATACTTTTCTTCCTTCTTTCCTATATGCTTTACTTGGTGATTAAGCCCTTAGGCAGCTGCAAAATCAGAAGAAGAAGTAGAGCAAGTAACAGCGAAGCAAGCAAAGGCAGAGGAATTGGAGGTGAAGATGGGGTTGCAGTGGATGATATTGACGTACGTGGTGGCGGCAGAGGCGGCTTTGGCCTTCCTCCTAACCATTCCGGCGCCCAAGCTGTTGAAGAATCGATTCGTGTCGCTGGTCTCTCTAATCCTCCAACCCGCCCTCTTCATCGTCCCCTTCGCCGGATTTCAGCTCCTGGGTTCGTTTCTTTTCTCGATTTCGCTCCCGTTTCCGTTCCAATCACACTGATATTGTCCTTAATTGTAATTATTTCTGCGATCTGGCCTCTCATTTGAAATGGGGTTTCGAATTTCTCGTTCTTAGGGCATTATATAGCTTTGGATTTCCCAATTTATCTTCTTTTTTTGTTTGATTTTTGGTAACAATGGGTTCCCATTGATGTTTGATTTTGCAATTGTTTCGTTTGATTGTGTGTAGATATATACTGGAAGAATGAGCATCGGTTGGCCTGCACCTCTGATATCTGCACTGCCTCTGAGCGTGACCGCTATGAGAAATCGGTCAGTTTCCCATTACTCTCTCTCTCTCTCTCTCTCTCTCTCTCTCTCTCTCTCTCTCTCTCTCTCTCTCCCCCCGTGGTTTTCATTGCTTTTAAAGTTCTAATATTTGATCAAATTGATCAGATGATGCCTTCTGGTCTTGAACTTGATCAACCAGCTAAATTAACTTATTGAAGTAGAAATCTTGTAACAAAAAAGGAAAATTACATTTTAATCTCCCCATTCACTAATGCTGCCTGGCAGCTTTATTATAATTAACCGCATTTTTATTTAGGGACCTTCGAGATAATCACATATTCGTGCTTAGTTTTACTCAAAATCAAAATGCTCAATAATGCATATCTGTTTCTTAAATTAGTCCTCCGAATACACATATGTAGGGAATTAAATTGTTAGGTTGCTTTGGAATAGGATGGTAACTTGAATCCTGCTTCTTTATCATTTGTTGGACTTTCTTTGTTTGTGGGAATTTGTGGATGAGGGGGGAAGAAAGGGTTATGCTTTTGGAAATATTCTAGTACGAGATATCTCTACATTTGGGCTGTACATTATGAAAAATTTGATATGTGGTCCAATTTTTGCGTTGCAATTTGTTGCACATTCAGCTTTGGGATGTCTTTAGAGAGATTGAGAATAGATATGTCCATGCAAATGAGTGTTTGACAATTTCTCATCATAATGCTCGCTTCTAAAACGACATTTGCCATTGTTTTGGATTTCTAGGTATCAAGATACAAAGGTTTCAAAGCCAAGTTCATCATCCTTCTTTTTTTAAGGTTTAGAAGATGGAATTTGCGGATTTCTTTGTTTATTAGGGAAATTGGTTCCATTCGTGCATTGTCTTTGAACCATTCATGCATGGAAAGTTATTTGAACTTTTACTTGATGCACGTAGTTTAGTCTCATCATATTCGATTTGGTTAGGTGACAAAAGAGCTGATCAGCCTAGTCTAGTGATTGCATATTTACCCCTCTGCCAATAAAGAGATACAAAAGTCAAGTTCTTTCTATATCCGTGTTATATTCAATTGTTCTCGACTCATTTCCTTTGTTGCGAATAATATGCCATGCAGATGTACAAGGCTCAAAGGAATGTAATTCTTTGTGCTTCAGCATGTCTGCTTTACTGGTACGTCAGCCAGATATGAAATGCCCCCTTCTTTTCGTTTTTAATTCATAAAAGAAAAAAAGAAGAAGGTAAACTTAAGGCCTCTGATATATGTCTTGTCATTTGATAGCAATCTACAAATTTTGGGCGCAGGTGTCTATTTCGCATCTGTAAATTGTGCAAGGACATTCAGAACTTGGAGGAAGTGGAGAAGAGGTACAAGGACAAGTAGGTTTTCGGATATAGGCCCTTCGTTGGCAGTGGAAACAACCGAGTTAGTATTTTTTCATCATAAATGAGAAACCGATGCTGCTTTTAGTAATACTGTAATGTCTTGAATTTGTGTGCGTAATTTGTAGCCGTCGTGTATGTTGTTGATACATTGTTCGTGTATCTGAAATATACTTTGTTTTCCACATTATATGAAAACTATGGCATTGATCGTTTGTTTGAGTATATGAATTCTAATGTCCCGCGATTCGTTGAGGATCAAAAGATCGTGAGCGTGACGGGGCAGTAGGAACAGGCGGCGCCCCGTCTAGCTCAGTTAGAATTTTAAATTTCGTTGATGGAACCATCAGATGCATTTCGGCATGGTCTTCGTTTCATCGGCGTATGTTATGCTGCAAGTTTCGTTTACACTTCGTGGCAGAGAAAATCAAATAATTCAATTGAAATGTTCAAACGAGGTCTTCCAACGTAGGCAGACTTGGTTTTCACAGAGTCTACATTGACCCATGACACGCTTTAATTTCTTGACAATTGGCCAAATTTGTTGAGTTAATCACTATAATTGCTATATCGTCATTCTATGATGGTTGTCAATGCTTAATCGATACGATATTTTATTCTGACCAATTTAACAATTAGGATTTGATTTAAAATTTGCACAACATTCAAAATTAATGCAGGACATTATATTATGCATAGGCTTATAAGTTTATAACATTTTACTTATGGAAACGATCTTGTGAATTTCCACCAATTTTGTTTTTCACAAACACTTAACTATAATTCAAGGTTTTTATCGATTTTGCGAGTTTTTATAAAAACCATCACAAAAACTATTTTGTATCATTTTCGCTGTACCATCAACTTTTTAATAACTTATAATACTTCATCTTATTAAATACGCAAAATATCTTGAAAAAACTTGACAATCATAATTTTTTTACAGACATGCCTGCTGCTTGATAATGGTTTCTTGGCAACTATTTTCCTCCAATTTTTAATTATTTAGTATATTTACTGAGCTAATGATATGTTTTACGAGATTTTATGTTAACTGAGAAAATATTATTTTTTGCCAGATTTTGTGGGCTCTCCATGTCTTTAAGAATGTGACTGTACCATGTGCAGAATTCCCACTCGGAGGAGAGGAGGGGCTAAAACACTAACAGCTAACAAGTTGAAAAGATTGAAAACACATTACAAATGTGCAGTACATTATTGACATCCTTGTCGTTCCCAACTCACATCATAAAAAGTGTTCCAATCTTCTTTCTTTTGGTAGGTATGAAACCATGTCCTTATTATCCAAACAAGTTTTGGTTTAGTTTAAACAGGTACATAAAAAATCAGGTTCATCAGTCGGCGCCAACAACTAGACACACAAAAAGGATGTGTTTCGAGTTTCGTTTTCATACAAGAGGTGACTTAAATTGATATAAAAGTGAATAACACATGTTTTGAACGGATTTTAAATGAATAACACATGTTTCGTACAAGAGGTAACTTAAATTGATATAAAAACCATGTCCTTATGATCTGCTGATATAACATCTTAAATGAATAACACATGATTTGAACGGATTTTAAAATAGCTAAAAGTGTTTTTGGCATTCGAAAGTGCTTCTGAAAAATATTTGGCCAAAAACTTATTAGCATTTTTGGGTTGTACAAGCACTTTTGTGGAGAAGTGTTTTATAAGCACTTGAACTTCTCAATGTAGAACTGTAATATTTATTACAAAGAGAAATGTTAAAGAGACTTTTAAAAGTAGGATTCTCTGTCACCCTATATTTTTTTACACAAGTTTTACAATGTTGGCACGAGAATAACGTTAAATTGTGAGATGGCAGTATAAGACTAAACTTATCAAAAATTACAAGTTAAGAGATTAAGCTCATGAACCACAAATTTATACAAGTATTAAAATCACAATTCGATAAACATAATGACAAACTAACCCGTAAAAGCAGTAGAAGAAGAAGCCAAATCAAACTTCAAACAGTGCACCTTCTCCTTTCTTGCAAAACCAAAAGTACTTAAACTAACAATAGGTCTTAGTTCAATATTGAGCGTATGTTTTGTGAGAGCAATGGCTTATGTTTTTATACTAAACATAGATTGCCCTATTACAATCCTACAAGGAATACAAGACAAAATCCTTGTACGAATTCTATTCTTAAGCTTATCAACATAGAGTTTCAATCCAAACCAAAGTCGAATTAACTCTCATAAACATATTAAGACTTCTCTATAGCAATCTGAGACAACAAGGATTGAATCACACTCATACTCTAACATTCTCCCACTTGAGTATGATTCATAACAGTGAATAATCATCTCAAATTCAATATAAAGGTGATCACATAAGTCATTCATCAACACACTAGTACATAGACACAACCAGCTTACATAAATCAAAACAATGAATTTATAATTGCCTCTACAACACAAAATACATATTTAATTTACAAATCACAATGTCCAGTTCATGTTCATAGCAATGTATCTAAGCTCAAAAGTAAACCAAGACGTCTACTCCCACTCATATAGCCACCAAATCTTTTGGATAACAAAAGCTTAACCTCACATACAACTTACCTATGCATTTTAAAGTATTGAACTTAAGAATCTTTTTTGTTACATCGCAGAATTAACTCAAAAGTCACAATACTTAATTTACACTTTGTAATTATGTGAACCAATATAGCAAAACCAAACCGATTTGCTCCCACTTATCTAGGCGCTATACTTAACACAACCAAGTTAAGTAAAAGATGTGGTATAGCAACTATATTAACTAAAAAAAAATCATTCCAATACAATGAATGACTAATCAAAATCCATATGGAAACCTAATTCGTTTCCTTTTGAATGCTAACTGACATATTAGGATCCTTCTCATTACTTAAACAAATTAAGTAACACAAATAATTCAACCAAATGAATTATAATGGCTGGCCTAACTCTTTGCCTTATGCTTACTGTCACATCCCGGCCCGGGCGGGACGACTTCCCGGGCCCGACTCCACTACCGTAGCACGATATTGTCCGCTTTGGGCTTACCATTCCCTCACGGTTTTGTTTTTGGGAACTCACGAGCAACTTCCCAGTGGGTCACCCATCATGGGATTGCTCTAGCCCCCTTCTCGCTTAACTTCGGAGTTCCTACGGAACCCGAAGTCAATGAGCTCCCAAAAGGCCTCGTGCTAGGTAGAGATGAGAATATACATTTAAGGATCAGTCCCCTGGGCGATGTGGGATGTCACAATCCACCCCCCTTAGGGGCCCGACGTCCTCGTCGGCACACACGCGGCCAGGGTTAGGCTCTGATACCAATTTGTCACATCCCGGCCCGGGCGGGACGACTTCCCGAGCCTGACTCCACTACCATATCACGATATTGTCCGCTTTGGGCTTACCATTCCCTCACGGTTTTGTTTTTGGGAACTCACGAGCAACTTCTCAGTGGGTCACCCATCATGGGATTGCTCTAGCCCCCTTCTCGCTTAACTTCGGAGTTCCTACGGAACCCGAAGCCAGTGAGCTCCCAAAAGGCCTCGTGCTAGGTAGAGATGAGAATATACATTTAAGGATCAGTCCCCTGGGCGATGTGGGATGTCACACTTACATTCGAACATATGATTCTCCCACTTAAGCATAAGCATAATGTACTGCACAACCGATAAAGAAACCGGAGATATGAACCAATTGGTTCCCGATTCCTCACCAATTGCATAATCTCAGTTTAGTCATATACACCTAAACCATTATGCAAACAGTCTATGTATCAAAAGATAGTACAATCCATTCGGAAAAACTTATCTCACATAAACCCAAAATCACTAGTTTCAACAACGATCAAAATCAGAATAGCAAGCACAATATTTTTGCTTTAATTTGATCCTAACTAGTTCAATATCCATCGAGCAAGATCAACTAAAAATTGATAATATTTGGACATAGAAGCACAAGTTATCTCGATTAAAACGAGATAATCAAGATCTCAACTTTTCAACAATATGATTTACATATAATAATTCTTTAACAAGATCGACATGTATCATAATTCAATCTAGTCCAAACATCAATTGCAAAAATACTAATTGACGCTTCAAAATCTCAAACAATTCCAATCAATGTAAAACCCATAATTTATCAAAATTTCAAAATTAATATCTTATGAACTTTGAGATCGCATCAGATATGAATTAAAGGATACATACCAATTTAATTAGCACATTTTCATTAAGAGCAGTGGAAGCAAACGAGAAACGAAAATTCCAGACCAAATCTTGCCAATCGATGAGTTCCACTATCACAGCGAAATAGAATGCATTCTTGCCAACAAGGCTTCACCAAAACAATTTACGTCATTCCATACAAGGTATAAATACAAGAGCCTTCACATGTTTTCGGTTATACACTGCAAAGATTGACATTTATCGAATCCAAAGATTACAAACTCCACCATTCATATATACGGCAACGCCCCCAAAACATATTATACGTAGTCTAACCAAAACTGGGGATATGAATTACACTACTAATTTTAAAGTCATCGTTATGGATACTTGTATAATCTAATTTTGCCTCCTTTTTTTTTAATAATAATTCAAAACAGACCAATGCATTTAATTATATGTATCATAAATACAAACAATGGCATCCAAATTCCATTAGTTTAATATTAGAACCGCTTGGTCATTAAGCATACTTGCCCAGACAATATCAATTCATGAGTACTCGTGCAATCAGATTGATTCCATTCCAAATTGATATTCATCGTATATGTCCCAAAACAAACAGACAAAAGAGAATGATAGGTGTTGTATATGAACAAATTTTATCCTCCACCAAGACTAATTTAATCAGAATCATAGACTCTTTAATGAAAAAGAAAGAGTATACATAGACTAAATGTTACACTAACTTATTTATGCAGCAAAAGATGATTTCAGACATCCCACATAAATCACAAGTTGGCATCCATAGGGATTTCGAGTTTAATCATGCCCTCACAGTATATAATTAAACAGGCACACTCGAAATAGCAAAAGCCCAAATTTATCATGGTTAAACTCATCACACTATAATCATGCATGATACAGTAAACTAAGTTACCTGAATGCATAATCGGACCCATATTCATCAACCCGATTGCAATTCCTCGGCTCCAAATAAATGAAACAAATTATCCATCAATGCTTGAGAACCGTCCATGTGGATTGCCTTCACTCCAGATTCACGTGGATCCCGTAACATTGCAAATTATCGAAGTAAATCTTCATTGTTACAAGTTCATCGAACCAAAATCATCGTCAAAAGTTATCGGCCCCTATCTCGTCAACACAAATTCCCGTAAAAAATTATGAATGTTTGTATCTCTTAGAATATGTTAGACAACATATAAATGTCTTCAAACCAACAAACCTCAAAACCAATATTTAATAATTACAAATACACAAGTTGCATTAAAGATAAACCTTATAAAAATTACAAATAAATTATAGTTTCTTGCCTCAAAAACTGATTGTGTCACATGCATTGATGCTTCATTAGTCTAGTATCAAACCATTAATTTAATAACAACAACAAATAAAAAAAGTTATTTATTAGACTAACCATTAGATGCATCAAGATACAAAACCATGGCCTCCAATATCAACATATGCAATTCAATCTATATTGACATATGTACAATAACAATTCTAGCTCAAAATAAATATCACAAGTGCATGTTTGCGTTCATATATTCACAAACCTTAACAACCCCTTGATCTTTTGCAGAAAGATGGTTTAGATAGAACACGATTTTCCCCCTTTTTCAAAATTGAAATCGTCAAAATAATTTTGAAAACAACACTACCTAATCTTTTGCATAAAGTCATCCTCTCTATTATTTCTTTATCTCAATTATAATTGGATGATCAAGATTTCAAAAAGACAATATTGACCAATTGACCCACAAAAGCACAATGTTCAATTTGTAGTGATAATTGACTCTTGTGAACCTAGAAAACTCAAACTCATACCAAGATGAAAATTTAGGAGTTTGACATATTATACCAGTATAATTCCAGATAAGGAAGCAGAAGAAAATTCATGAAATCTTTACAGATCCCAAACAAAGTAACATGGTATCAAAAATGATCGTAACCGTGAAAAAAGGTTTTCTAGAAAAAGCCCTACAGATTTCTTCACAAACAAAATTCGATCTTTGCTAATTAACATCACGTCTTTTACTGTTTTAGTTTTAAAACTTTCAACTTGAATTCAAGAGCAATAATCTTAGGCTTTGATACCACATGTAAGACTAAACTTATCAAAAATTACAAGTTAAGAGATTAAGCTCATGAACCACAAATTTATACAAGTATTAAAATCACAATTCGATAAACATAATGAAAAACTAACCCGTAAAAGTAGTAGAAGAAGAAGCCAAATCAGACTTCAAACAGTGCACCTTCTCCTCTCTTGCAAAACCAAAAGTACTCAAACTAACAATAGGTCTTAGTTCAATATTGAGCGTATGTTTTGTGAGAGCAGTGGCTTATGTTTTTATACTAAACATAGATTGCCCTATTACAATACTACAAGGAATACAAGACAAAATCCTGGTACGAGTTCTATTCTTAAGCTTATCAACATAGAGTTTCAATCCAAACCAAAGTCGAATTAACTCTCATAAACATATTAAGACTTCTCTATAGCAATCTGAGACAACAACGATTATTACCAAACCGTATGAATCACACTCATACTGTAACATGCAGAGAATCTATAGAGAGTCCCACGATAGTGTCTTTAGTATTTCGATATCACAAAAGTACTTTCAAAAGGGCTAACGAGCATGTGTTTCAGAAACAATAATCATTGATATAATACGGTGACATGTGAAAAGAAGAGATTGAAAGTCTATTTTACTTTCCAATTCAACTTGCAGCATTGCATTAACAAATCTGGAGAATAAATTAATCAATGTTTACCATTTCAAAAGCTCATCAATTGATGGAACTAAAACTAAGAACTAATTAACACTAAGAATATGTATGTTTTCTTTTGAAAATGTTCATCAAAACGACCTTCTAATACTCTTAAAATCTACGGACTCTATGCATTCCAATCCAGCTCTGTAAGGATTCAAGAGCTTCAGAAGCTCGTTCGTCTTCTCCTTCGTGTGATCATCCCCGCAACGAACCTGTAAAACCAACAAGAGCTTCTGAAATGTACCGACTTGAAGGGCCTCAACCAGCACTCTTTCATCTTGCCTGCTTGCACATTTACACAGCTTCCAAATCGCTGAAATCGAATACTGAGTTGCCATTTCCGATATTCTCAAAATTTTCTTCACTAAAACTGGTATAGTTAGCGCATCAGCATACGCCTTTTCCCTCCCTTCTTCGCAATCACAAAGACTGTCGATAACCGCCAATGCCCTCTCGCTTACGCCCTTTTCCGAGTCCACAAGCATTTCCAGCAATACCGAAACCAATCCCATCTCCAAAAATGCTAACTTGATCTTTTCACCGGCGGAAGAAGATGATGAAATCAAGTACAAAACTACCGTCAGAGATGCCTTGGTAATCGCCGGCGAAATTTTCTCTCTGATGAGCTCGAAAAGAATGTCATTCACCCCACCAATCTCCACCAACGCTTCAACATGTTTTGTGCGATCAGCGCAAGAAAGAAGCTCTTTCAATGCTAGAATGGAGTTTTGCTTCACCGAAAGATCATCACTTTCCTTGAGAAACCAAACCATGCAATGCAACGATGCTTTGGATCCCAAGTGTTTGTGTGACTCTTCATCGAAAGCCGGAAGCATCCAACTCAGCGCAGACAGTAATTCTTCACACACAGTTGCATTTCTCCTTTCGCAATCACTTGCGAAAGAATCAAAGGCTGCAGCGAGTACAGATGCAGCCCCATTCTCCAATATACAGCGCTTGTTTCGCTCGCTCTCGGCCGCCCATTTCTTGATTCTGCGCACACATTCGACGCACCCTTGGTGATCCAAACGTCGAGCTGAGTCCGCTAAACTGAAAAGAATCTCGGAGACCTCAATTGGCATGACGGGAATTCGCGGAGTTGGAACACGTTCAATTCCATAGCGCTTGTTTTCGGTGCACCATTCTTGAATCATTTTTCTGAGACTATGGTTGGGAATCTGATCAAAGCTTCTCAACAACTGATTTGTCACAGGGCAAGTGAAGTTCCCGCCTTCGAGCCACTTGTCGATGCTCTGTCTATCGTAGGTTATTCCGGATGACAATGTGACCGGATCCTTCATCAAGTCAAGCGATATCGGGCAGAGGAAATGGTTCGGGATCAGGGCTTCCATGTCGAGGTCCCCCGGCTGGTTTTTCGCTGCACGGTGGCCGGTTCTCCTCCTTCCCCAGCCTAAAACCATTGGTACAAGCTAGTTTACTGACACAACAGAAGTTATAGGTTAAAGAGATAACGAAGGAAAATTCAGAAAAGTAGAGAAGTTGTTTCTTTTGGTTTTGTTGGTGTTGGTTTTTTTGGTTGTGGAAAAATAGGAGGGAGGAGATGGAGTTTATATACCAAAATTTGTTGCCCGAACTACAAGTTTGAGGCTTTCGCACGCGGCGTTCAAAGTATGAGAAGTGGGAAAGAATTGAAAAAGAAAGAAAGGAAATTCAAGATGTAGGAGGAGGAATAGGTTTTCTTTTTTTCTCTTTTTTAGTAATAGTATTTGAATGTTGACCGTTGAAGCTTTCAACGTTTTTTAATCCGTACATCGTCAAGGGAGGAAGCGGTAAAAGTTAACTCCTCACGGGATCAAATTGTACCAAGCAAACAAATTAGTTGTTCTCTTTTCTTTTTCTTTTTTTACCCTTTGGAATATGACTGAGTTTAGTCAAGTTCGACCTTTTTATTTTTATGGTTCAAATCAATTTAGTATAATTATTCTATCATTTGTTTAGAAAAGTTAACAAACAAAACATTTAAACAGTCCTACTAGTTAGATGGTTAACACTCTCACAAAAGAACGAACTCCTCGTCCCATTGGACCTCACATAAGTACAATTCTCACTACACACCCTTGTGAGAGTTGTTGGTCAGGCTATCCTATTGAAAAACTTTCTCCCAACAAAACTTCTCCGACTGAAATTTTTCTCCGAACAAAGACTCTAACCGAAAGAAAAATACTAACACAATAACATATTTTGTTGTAAGTTAAGTTTCTCTCCTCTCAAGATCCCATCTATTACAAAAATGATCAAGTTGGGCAATAAATATGGTAATAACTGGAATTATTCTATTCATTTTTTGAGTCTTTCTTTAGGTCTACGTGATGTAAAGGAACACAAAGTCGGTCAGCTTAACTATGTAAGAACGAGTCCTCCTAGCCTAGCTAGGTTCCTCTATATCAGGCTAAAGGTATCAGCTGCCTTCTTCACAGCAGTTTTGACTTTGACAGAGTCATAGGCCATTCAATTTCAAACTCCCACCCCATAAAATATAAATAAAAAATTAAACCAGGTTAATTCGGATCTCCAAGATCCTCCAATAACGTCCGTTGATCGTATATCGTACGATCAGAAATTTTTTTATTTAAAATTAAATATAAACAGTATCGGACAAAAATTGACCTTACAATATACGATGAACAGACGTAATTAAAGGATTCTCGGGATTCTCACAAAGAGGATCCAGAGAGAAACCTCGTTCAATTCAAATCAAGCAAATAGAAATTTTAACCTAAAAACAGAAAACCTTATGAAAGTGGCTTTTTATTCACTTTTGAATTTGCTGTACAGAAAAATACCACCCCTTTAAAAATGAGCTTACGTTACAAATCAATTTTTAATCCTGTACATAACCAGCAACATTGTGAATGAACCTTGAAACCAAATCCGGCCGAAGACGAAAACAAATCCGGCCTAAGTTGAAACCAAATCCGGCCTACGTTAATAACAAGTCCGGCCTGGGAAAGAAGAAGGAAAAGAACAAAGAAACAAAGAAATGCAGCCGAACTGTCTTCGCTACTCATCCTTCCATCAGCTAATCAAACGGCAGCACGTAGCCCCCCATGTTCGTTGGAGCTGTTTCGGTGTTTCCCCAGTGACAAGTTCACGCCGTCCAACTTTTCACTTCACATGGTGCTCACCTGCAGAGCCCCGGAGAAGCGTGGTCTATTCCTGCCTGACATATGGAGAAGAACTCATCTCCGTGCTGTAAAATGAGTCGTCCCCATTTACTGCAAAGAAATTATCATTCTTTTCTTCATCCCACTTGAGGACCTCCCGTACGTACTTGAATGCCTCGTCAACTGAGGCAGCCTCCCGAGCTCGGGTCTGCGCCACAAACAACTTTTCGCCGCTTATGGATGAATACAGCTCTTTGAATTTCACCGCCACGTAATAATATGCTTGCTGTGCCAGAGACTGACTATTACCATGACGCTTAACAGGACTGAAGTCCTTTAGCCACTCGCAGGCAGACAACGGAACCTGGTTTATCTTGCCTTCAAAGGCATCGTATTTGTTCAGAAAGAGCACAAACGGAGTGTCTCTGAAACAAGGGTGCCGTACCAAACTCTCAAACAAATCTCTGCTTGCCAGCATTTTATTACGAAGAAGACCATTACCGTGGGCCCACATTTGATCATAGTCACTCAACACAACACAAAAAATCACTGCCCTCACATCTTCAAACATTTCCAGCCATTTGCAACCATCACTCAGTCCCTTGGAATTAATGCGAATTAGTTGATACCTGAGACAATAAAATCCAGTGAGCAACAGACTGATGGTCTCATTGGAAACAGAAAAAAAGATAACAGTATGAGCACAAGATCGGAAGCTCGACTGACGATGAAAGAATCAAGGTATTACTTAGTCAAGGGAAGGGGAAATTCATAGTTTTCTTTGTATAGCTCAGACGTGGCACTTCTGTCATCAAATGAAAATTCCATAGAGGCAAGCCCATTGCTCTGTGTAACGCCCTCAGCATATAAAATGTCTTTCTCGGAGGGCTCATACTCGTTACTTGATATTTCTATAGCCTGTTAGAAATGAAACACCAAACGCGCACAAGAATAAAACATGAATATTGCAAATTTAGTTTAGCTAGCGACAAAGCATCCAAGCCTGCTTAAAATGTCACCCACGTATATATCAAACAATTAAACCATATTCAATCCAAACATAGTCTTAATATTAATTCAAAGTAAATGTGAAAGATCATAAACTAAATATGAAAATACCATAAAAGGAATACTATCAATTCTGTGATTAACAAACTTTGATCTTCCAAATAAAGTTTTAACAGGCATGCAATTTGGAGCCGAAAGAGTAAGGCGAAAACAAGTAATGACTAACCCGATCTAAGAAATATTTGGCAACTTCAGGAAGGCAGTCTAGTTCCTCCCTCCTTTTGTATGTTTCCTGGATGGCAGAATCTCTCCACAATTCATCCACAATAGGAGCATACTCACGTGTCGCAGCAGGAAAGAATGCATCCAAGTCTCCGGTTGCCATGATATCCAGTAACCAGTCAGAAAAGTGCTTGAACCTTTGGTTGATTGCATAGATGCATTGCTCGCTTTCATCAACTACTGTTTCACATAAATTCATTTCACAGTCAACCACTGACTTAAGGTTCATTCATGCCTACAAGCAGAGAACCAAATAAGCAAAATATTCTCTCTCTTAAGATGTAAACATTTTCCTCTTCAACCAGTATAACATTTCTTCAATATTAATGACAACGGGACAATCATGAGTTTAAATTATGTTAGACATAAGATGAAACCAATAGCACCAAACTTCCACTCCCTTGGGTAAATAACAACAAGAGGGAAAGCATTTGTTCCTTTTTGGACAGACAAAAAAAATGAGATGCCAACGCCACTGTTCTACTTGATTCTAACAAACAAACAAACAAACAAAATTTGACCAGCAGCAGCAGCAGAGAATCAGACTAAGAGAAGGTTGACCCATCTATCAATAAAAAAACCTACCAGCCCTGTCCAGGTAGCTGTATTTGAAGTAGTATTTAACGCAAAAACAAAACAGACATGACCACCATCCATCATGACCACCATAATGCAATGTATCTATGTTAGAAACAACTACAACAATCATGGATCTAGAGTTTTGTTGCAAAGATGGACATGGACATAGCAAGCAGCTACCGTCTTTTTGTAAACAGAAAAAGAAAAAGGTCATGTTGACCTGAAGGGGACTCATGAGCAGCCAACAAAGATATCCTATTCTCCGTCAACGCTTCCTCTTCAAAACGTTCTCGGCCCTCAAGTAATATACTTAGATACTTATACATATTGCTCTGAATCATGAGTTTGATGTTCTGCAGCTCTTCGGAAGTGAACTTGTTCCCATATAAGAGCTTAGCCTGTTCCATGGGAAAAAGAAGGATGACATAAGCATTTTTAAGATGTTGTAGTGTCCAAGAAATAAAGCTTCCAAAGTTCTGATACCAAAAAAAAGCGAATGAAATCATAAACAACAAAAACAAAAGCACCAAGCCCTAGGGGCTTTTCGCTAAGCGGTCTTCAAGGTATCATGCAGTTTGATTATCCACAAAAGGTAAGTTAGTACATTAAATGGACTCCAATCCTATTTTAATATCCTTGTTTTCCCTTGGTTTTGAATCGAAATCATTCACACAAAACCTAATGACTCACAATGCTACATATAAGCACATCTACATTAATTGTTTAAATTAATGTTTTCCAAGGTGAATGCCCACATTTACCATACTTGCAATATATCAGCGACTGAGCTAATTGGATTTCCCCTGCTTCCAATAATGTTCTTGATCCATTAAAACATGCAGCATCTTGGCTACTTCTATGGTTTTACCATGCTAAATTCCTAGACTCCTAGTTGGGGTTGTTCAGTCAAAAAGAGCCAATGGTTTCAGTGAAAGATTGCAAACCATGTAATGACATATGGGAAGATAAGGTAAGTTCACTATCACGGTAAAGGAAACACTTTTTAATTGTCAATTGATGAAATATGTCACGAGTCGAATTGAAAACAAGGTAAATGCAACTACTAACATCTTTGCATTTAGCGAAAGCAGTTTTAAATATTTTATAGTTGCATAACTGTAAACCAACGAGGAACCAGACACCAGATAGAGCAAGTCTATTCAAGTCTTGCTTGACTAGAACAGAAACAAGGACACACGTAAACTCAAAAAGACGTGTACCATGCAAGGCACCCTGAAGAGAAGGGGGGCAATACCTGCTTGAAGATGGTGCTAGTTCCAGATCCCTCCGAGCCAAATAACAGAAGTTTCTGAACTCTTCCCTGTTCCCAGAATTCCCGGACTGACCTGCTTGAAGGTGTCATCGGATCTTCTTGTGCCCCATTTTGATTACCAGGTGGTACAGGCAATGAGAATAATGAACAAATGAAACGAGTGGATGCCTGCCTACCAAAAACCAAACTGCAAGAGAATAAAAATTTGACTCACAATAATCTGTCACAATTTCAAACGTGCACCAAACAACAATTAACCAACATTCAAGGTACGAAAGAACCTTTCCCCATATATTCCCTTTAATGTTATTCTGACCTTCCTCCTCATAAGAACCATCATCATACACCCAAAAATGAGTATCCGGAGGGCACTGCACTTTGGCCAGCTGAGATGCAAGTGAAAAGGAAAATGATAAGCTTTGTGTTATGTAATCAAATGATTTATGCAATCACCAAAAAATTTGAGGAAGCTTCTTCTTATTATTAACTTTCATTAGAAGACTTTCAACTAGACAGATGATCATCTTACAAACTTACTTATTATGGAAAATCCTATAGTAGGAATTCACATTTGCAACCGTTAGATTGACGGATTCACTTTTTCATACCAGGGGTTTAGGGTTTAGATTTCCAAATTATAGTTGCATTTGTTTGTATTGAATACGGAGCTCTACTACCGACATACTCATTCATTATGGACATTTAGGTAATACCTTCAACACCCTCAGCTCAATCTTTGTGATCTCTCGGCCATTCATGAACACTTTGGTGTTCCCATTGCTTGCATCAAACCGAATCTTACCCCCAACATTGAGTTTCGAGCTAATAATCCTATCCGGCTTCTCACCCTCCTGAAATCAAGCACACAGGACTATAAACATACAAAGCACAAAAAACCCTACTGCAAATGCTCATCCAAAAAAAGCTCACCTTTCCCCAAAAACCGGAATCCTTATCGTACCAATACCTCCCAGGTTTCAACTTCTGAGGAGGCAATTCACATCCCAAAATCTCAGCCAGTTCTTCTTCCCTCAGCTTGCTTCCATTCACAACCAACTGCTCCGGCCGAAGCTGATTGGCGGGGCACTCCTTCTCGCCCCTCATTATCTGCCGAATCTCCAAAGGGCTGCAAACCCTCGACAGGATCCTCGAACACTTCCCTAAGTTCGACCTCTTGGACTCGTCTATTGGCTGCCCAATGCAGCTCACACATTTCCTCCCCTCCGGCATCGACCCCATCGCCTTCAGCAAGCAATTGCTGCAGTACTTGGCGTCGCACACCAAACACCACTCTCTCTCCTTCAATCTGTTCCCTTTCCCGCACCTGCTGCAAATCCCTCTCTTACTCGATCGCCTCCCGGGCGAAGAGGCCCCTACAACCGGCGATCCCACCTGTTCGGTGGCCGCGCTCGATTGCGGGGACGAGTCGTTATCTTCACCCTCGTCCTCGTTCTCCGAATCTCTTGGTTCATTGAAAGTCACGACAGCCGCCCTCTTTCCTTCGGTGGCGCCGCCGATCGGTTTGTGCTCCAAGTTCGAGTCTTGAGCCGGCAACTCAGAGCTGAAACCTTCCTCAGCCCCTTCAAATTCCGACCCTTCCCTGCTGTTTCGCAGCTCCGGTTGCGTCCTCGGAGTCGAAGACGACGTCGTTCTACTCGTCTCCTTCACAACGCCGCCGTTCCTCATCCGACTGAACCGCGAGACCTTCTGACCGACCATCGACCCCACCGGAATCGAAGACGGGGCTTGAACCGAACCAGCGGTCACGGAAGAAGAGTAAAGATTGAGAGAGTCGAGGTTAACCGGATCAACCTTGGGCGGGTCGTAGGGCAGAGGAGAGCCTTCGTATTCGACGGCGATGGAGTAGTCGAGGTGCTCTTCGTCGGGTAATGGTGCGCCGGCAGGCAGCATCTTTCTGAGGAGGTCCTCCCAGCTCTTCCCATCCTCCGGTTCGGAAGCCATGGCGGGGCACAGGGTGTTTGGTTCCCGAGAAAAAAAGCTCGAGAAAATGAAATGAAAGGTAATTGATTTGCCGTACAAAGCAGTTGGGGGGAAGCTAGAGAGTGGGGGAGAAGAGTTGAGAGACGTCAACGTCATCGTTGACAATTTTTTTACATTTCAAATTGATGTTTTTGGAGTTTACAAATAATTAAAAATAAGTACCATTGGAAACTGACAGTTGATTATTTTCGGTGAAACCAAAGTAAATTCGTTTATACATTGACTTACTAATGTCAGTTGGTCCAGAAAAATTTGGCATGAGATGTCAAGACGACGTTATTCTTATTAGTAACTGTACGGTAGGAGAGTTGCTCTAATCAAGATATTATCGAAACTGGTGCTTAAGCAAGAATTACATTTAGGGAGAACAGTCGGTGCACATAAGTTATCAGCAACAGCGGGTTTTGGTTTTTCGAAATCTCCCTAACAGACTATTAGTACAGTTTCAATAAAATGAGATGCTATACATTAACTTCCGTCGCTGCTGTTTCTCAAAACCAGATACAATATCATCAATTGATTCCTCCCACGAATCAGCTGCTTCAATCTGGAAAAAATTAACAATAATGCACCCGTCAGCATTACTATTTTGCATTACAGATTATGGAGTGCCGATGCAACCATAAATACAGACCTCTTGGCAAAGATCTAAAGCAAGACGAGCTCCTACAGCGGCCTCCTCGTGGTTATCTTTCACCTCCAAGTTGATTATCAGCACACATTTCCTAAGAGCATGGTCCCGGTTGTTGAGATCTATACATTGTTGCACACGGGTCAGACAAGCAAACAAGGATGGCATCTTCAAGTTACAGATTAACTGCACAAATCTTCTTTTAGTTTTCATAAAACTAAAAGATGAACAAAAGTAGATGGTGCCAATACTTTTGAATCTTCTGTTAGAGTTTGGACTATAAGTTCAAAGTTCAAATATAAGTCCGTATGATTCATTTGGTTTTGCGAGTTATATCAAGCGAAAGATTATGAAATCAAATCCATAGAGAAATCTGATCAAAACCCAGTTAAGTTATTCAATTTCTGTTTTTTAGGCATTAGAAGAGTCTCTCCCACCTACAGCCTTCTCTGCGAAAAATATCACCATGTATAAAGCAGGCAGACTCAACCCAACAAATTTCGGCATTCTCTCCTACCGTCCAACTCAGGTTTTAACAGTGTCCTAAAAGTTCAAAATTTTCCTGTTCAACATAAATTCTTCCACATGCTCAACTAAACAGAAACTTTCAACCATCCAGTATGTTTTTTTTTTTTTTTTTATCAAAAACTCTCTTGAGGTTTAAACTTTATCTTTTCCTTGAGATTCATTAACCACAAGTTCCTAGAACCAGCATCTCTGTTGTATGTATAAGTTCTAATAATCCTAGGAACCTATAAACTCAAGGTTTCTTACTTTCTTACATTTCCCAAATGGAAAAAGAATCCATTTCAAATATCAATCGTTGTTTGTTACCATCTCCAATGATTACGTTAAGCTGAAAGAAATTGCATGCCTATAACTTAAGAGCTCAAACTCTACCAGCAACTCATATTCCAACAGCTCGACAGAAAGACATTACCAAGAAACAACACTACCAACACAAAGAAGAGCATTTGATTAACTGATTATCAAAAGACTGTGGACTATTGAAATCCAGAAGATACAAGCCAAAACTAGGAGAAGGGAGTTAAAACCAACCTTCAATAACCATGTCAAAAACCTTTTCTTCGAATGTTAACACCACATCAAAGGAACCGTCGGCAGCATTGTCCTGCCATCGCTGAGGTGCCAGTTTGACTCCCAAGTTTCTTTTAAGCATAGGCAAGATGCCATTACGCTTGTACCTGTACTTATCGTCAAGGTTACACTTTGCATAAAAAACAACACAGTTCAGAACGTAAAGTACGCGCATAAATTCCAGTTCATACATCCCACAATACTCGAGCATTGCTACACAGAGCTACCAATCAATAGTCGTCGTCATCAACTATTCTATACTCTTCGCTAAACACCTCGAATCCACAAATATCGAATTTACTCTTAAAAGCCTCAAGGGTAAGTTCATACACAAAATCTATCAGACTGCCCACTTAATTTCCAAATATTGAAGCTTTGAATCTACAATCTCAGTTGCATATATCAACAGTCTTAAAGTCCTTCTTTTTCTTTCCTGTTAACCAATTTGCTCCTACCAAAACTTTTTGTTCGCACTATTTTCTGGATATTTATACGAATCTATTTCATCACCAAAATATCATATTCCCCAAAACCCAGAATTCGAAAAACCCAATTGAAACAAGAAAGACACATAATTTGAAAACCCCAATTGAACAAAATCGAGAGAAGAACAAGTTTAGAGGAGGAGGATACAGTTCGGGGTCTTTTCGCCGGAGATCGTCGAACATCTGCTTGTAAGGTGTGCCAAAGTCGTAAACATTGGGTTCTCTGAGGGAGGGACCAGGGAGCTTGACGTGGGCTCCGGTGCCGTACGACGCGACGTCGAAGCCCTGCCGCTTGAGGAGCGAGTGAGCCTCCATGCTCCGGTTCTGGTTCGACGAACACACCATGGCGTACCGGAACTTCATGGCTAACTGAATTCCACCGTCTCTGTCTGATTCACAGATCACAATACGTCCCTTGGGGCGGCTGGGCTTTTCACTTGTTTACCACAAATTAGTCAATTTCTTTTTTCTTTCGCTTATTTATTTTTAGGTAAGCTCCGTTATACCATCTTCAATTTTTTGTTAAAACCTACAAATTTTAGTTTTAATCTAAAAGTAGTTTTTTTGCTCCAATTCTTCTGGATTAAAATTTTAACCTTAAATTATTAAAAATGAATTTTGACTAATTTTTTTGTTAAATGTAACTTTAAAACAAAAAATAATGTAGACTATCTTAATTTAATTTTATGAACATGTTAACCTAAAAATATTTTGATTCCGGAAAATATTGAAAAATCACTAACTGACACTATGAAACTCGTGAAACATTATGAAAGAATATGAAACACATAAAAGATTTTTTTTTAATTACTTTAGCCGTTAGATTTAAATTTGGACAGTTAGATTTTTTTTTTTTTTTTACAGTTGAATTTCATCAAATTAGATCTTAACCGTTGGATTCAATGAATTTATAAGTATAAAACTAAAAAAAATATACATATATGGTGTACCAACCTCACTAACCCAGGAACAATCATGGCCCAAATTTGACCCATAAATGAGTTTTGAGTTTTAATTCATATTTGCCCCAAGAGTTGGAGCAAGTTGAGTAAGTTTAGAACTTAACATTTGAGTTTTACTTCAAGGGTTAGAGTAAGTCTTAGAATTCAAAAGTCAATTTTACTTTAATTCATATGTCGCATCCTAAAATATACGTAAGACCAACATTCAAAAAGATTGTGTCGTATGTGCAGTAAATTTGATTATAATTTTTTATTATACGTCAACATTTAGAATATTAAGTTTAAAAAGCATTGAATAGATGAAATAAAAAAGTTAATTAGCCCGATGCACCTACCTACGTACGAGATTAACATATCTAAGTCAATGTGGAATAAATTTTGAGTTTTATAAAGATGATTTTTAAGCTTGAGGAAGCGCAATGAGATCAAAATCGAGTTTCGAAAGCAAAATAAAGTAAATTTTAACTTAAAAAAATAAAATGACAACTTTTAAATTTTAAAAAGCAAAATAAGATTAAATTTTAAAGTTTCAGAAATGTAGCTAAAAATAAGCTTTTACTCACTCTTTTTTCATCTTTATTTTGTTACTTAAATTAGACGGTAATAATTAGACAGCGTAACTCATTTGTCTAAATAGAAAAAGAATTTCATTTGTCTTGTGGGGAATTTTATCAGTTCGAATTGTAAATTATAGGGTTTCGGGTTCGCAGAGCTGAGAGATGGAAGCAGCAGCAACATCGAGTGTTTTTCAATCATCAATCGCCGCCTCCAGGCCTTCCAATTTGATTGCCCGACCGGGGATTTTGACGGCCAATGGACCCCGATTTCTGCGTTTGGGTCCCAAAACTCACTCGCCAATCAAGGTAATTGATGAGAATTCGTGGGTTCTTGTTACTTTTCAATTTTGCATGATCCCGAATAGTTTGCGAGTAATGAGTACCTCTGGTAATTGATGAGAATTCTAGGGTTTCTGTTAAATGAGAAAGATTCAAATTTTTTTTGAGATTTTAGGGTTTTAGTTGGTGCAGTTCAATTGTGCTGTTTATAGCATATGACTTAAATGTCTATGCAAAAAATCAATTTATAGTCGATATTTCATCCGATTTTTTTCGGAATATTTGTAGCCGTGGCAAAATTTGGAGTAGTAGTTGAGTAATATTTGATCTGATTTCATGTTTAGCAGCATCAGTTTTCAATCTGTCAACCGAAGGTGGGGCATAGGAGAATGGGATTTGGAAGCAGGAGAGGCTTCGTGGTTAGGGCGGTAGCTGCATCTTCGTCTCCGGACTCAGCTGGTTCTGCTTCTCCAATCGCCCCACTTCAGCTGGAGTCTCCAATTGGGCAGTTCCTCTCTCAGATAATGATTAGTCACCCACACCTTGTGCCTAGTGCAGTGGACCAGCAGCTTGAACAGCTTCAAACCGACCGCGATGCTGAGCAAAAGAAGGAACAGAAGGAAGAGCCTTCCGCTTCTGGTACCGACCTTGTTTTGTACAGGTTAGTTGCAATCTAGATTGAGTGATAAGCTAATAGCCAGTTATGTTTACATTAAGTCAAGTTAAGCTGCGTAAATGAACCATAATTTTAATGCTGTTTTCCTTGGTAAAATCAGAATAAATGAATGAAAAAGTTTGACTTTGCCACCATTTGGTATGTGCAACTAAATGGAGAATTGTAGTTTTGGAGTGAGATATTATTAACTTCTTCTGCAATATCAGGAGGATCGCCGAGGTTAAGGCTACCGAAAGGAGAAAGGCTCTTGAAGAGATTTTGTATGCTTTGGTGGTGCAGAAATTCATGGATGCTAATGTTTCCCTAGTACCTGCCATTAGCCCAACTTCAGACCCTTCTGGCCAAGTTGATTCATGGCCAACTCAAGATGAGAAGCTCGAGCAGCTTCACTCTCCTGAAGCGTACGAGATGATTCAAAACCACCTGTCTCTCATCCTAGGAAATCGGTTGGGTGACTCGTCCTCTTTAGCAAAGATTAGCAAACTCAAAATCGGGCAGGTTTATGCAGCCTCTGTCATGTATGGGTACTTCCTCAAACGGGTTGACCAGAGGTTTCAGCTTGAGAAGACAATGAAGATCCTTCCAGGTGCAATGGGTGCCAAAGACAGTGATATTCACAAATCAGTGGGGGAGGACATGAGGCCTGGCAGTGGAGGGGAGACTTTGCAAGCAGGGGTGTCTTCCCATCCTGAAGTCCCTTCCTTGGCCGGAGGCATTAGTCCTGGGGGTTTTGGCAATGCGCTCAAGCATTCCCGCTTACGGACCTATGTGATGTCATTTGATGGAGAGACCCTTCATAGGTATGCAACAATTAGATCGAGAGAGGCCATTAGCATCATTGAAAAGCACACCGAGGCATTGTTTGGGAGACCCGATATTGTCATCACACCTCAGGGGACTGTTGATTCCTCCAAGGATGATCTCATCAAGATTAGCTTTGGTGGTTTGAGGAGACTTGTTTTGGAATCTGTGACTTTTGGCTCTTTTCTTTGGGACGTTGAGAGCTATGTGGATTCCAGGTATCATTTTGTTGCAAACTGAGTTATGTCGAGTTAAAGATCGATCCTGCCATGGTAAAACTCGGTGGTGCATTGGAGCCCCAACTGCCCTTCTCAAATGGGATAATTGAGGGTAGACCTAGTGAAAAATACCAAATCTTTGGTGCTAATTGCTGTGTATAAACAGTTAAAAAATTTCTTTTGTCCGTGTAATAATAAGGCTTTGTAGGATTGTCAAACTTCCTGTAATTTTGATATATTTGCGCTGACAACCATTTCTTATCGATACAACGGATTAAAAGAACAACATTTGATCATTTTATTTATGAGTCTTTCCTTTTGTTGCACTTCTACATGGAACTGTAAAGAAATTTGTTAGGCTTGGAAAGATTCAGACGATGCAGAACTGTGCCGAACATGTCATAGAATGCAAGTTCTGCATCAATCTCTGTAAGGTGTGCAGTAAGAAGCCTTACCCGTCATGGTAGAACTTGAATTCATTTCGTTTCGCTTTAACGTCGCCTGTCCTTGCCTTCGACCCACCACCGCTGGTCAAGAACTGGATTTGGCTGTGCGCACAAAATTGGTGATTTTTAACAGATTCTTTTCATCCATAAAGTTAACTTTAAAACTGCTTATTCATCTTTACCTGATGCATATTGGTAGGAAAATCCGTTGTTGTAAATGGGAACATGCTTGGGAGAAAATGGGGATTGCCATTAAGTATATAACATAAGATAATGGAAATTTCTTTTTTGTAAGTATCCAATCACTTGTATTATAACACTTAGTTTATCAGACCGTGCTCTCGATACACTAAACACTCTCTCACCAATGTAATAATGCAAGGATAATACATGCGTTCTTTTATAATATACATATCCCATTAATCTCGAATAACGTATATCTACTATATAAATTTTATAATTAGAATCATTGGATTGCTTAATCTTTATTTAACTATCATTCCTACAAAAAGTATTCGAATCAGAAATCATTTTTTCATTCAAATGTATGGAATAGAACGATGGTGTGAGTACCAAGAAACATATTCAATATGAGCCGTCTAATTATTTGATACATTTAATTGACTAACCGATCTTTGATTTCAATTTTTTTGTAGGAATGATATTCAAATGAAGATTAAGACGATAAACGATTCTGATTGTAGAGTTTATATAATTAAGATATGTTATTTGTAAGACATGTATATGTGCATTCCTCGTCAGAACACATAAGTATTATTCATAGGATAGTACTATTCACACACTCATTTACCTTCTATTCGTCTTTATTAATTTTTTATCATTAATTTTTTTCAATTTATATTATCTGACAATCAAAAATTAAAAGAATATTGTGAAAATTAACAATGAGTGTACGATACACTATTCGTAATGCAATTGGATTCTGAATTAAATGTAGGCACAAATCGGAAAGTGAATGCTACGTAGACCCACTACGAATCCGTATAAAGTTACTCCAAGTCCAGTCGGCATCTGCAGTGCAAAATGTGATGATGCTGGGTCCCATCGACAAGTCTAGGTTCTAGCCTCCTAGGGTTGCTTTCCTTCCCAATTTCCCAGCAACTTCCTGCCTTCCCAATTTCCTAGCAACTTCCTATATCTTGTTTTTTCTCTCCTCTCACTTTCAGGTTTTGGAATCATAGTTTGGCAATCAAGTGACAGACCTACACCGATCACTTGCTAGCTCAAGTCCAAATATACAGAAGAAAATGAATCCATGATGCATAAGCTTTTCTACAAATCACTAGGTGTGTATTTGTCTTTTGATGATAAAACAATCATTTTAATACTTAAGTAAGTTGTGTTACAAATCAACGTAAATTTATTATAATATTCGATTTAGTATTGATATTGTTTCAAACTTAATAATTCGACATCAACTTAAGCACCTAAGTTCGTCCACATCCATAACTTATACTGAGTCATACAAATACTAAAAATATCTTACACGTCTTAGTATATTTTGTGATAGAGCCAGGAAGAATTGAAATGATGTATTGATTTTGTGTTTCTAGTTTCTAATCAAGTCACGCCTCGATTCTGAGATATGCCCAAAATTGGCACATGATAGCAGAAAATAACGGTATAATAATACATAAAGTTAGTTGAGACGCATACATAATACATATCAGATATTCAACAGGTTTTACAAGACACAAGAGATTGATGTCAAATTATAAAGAAATAGACCATAAAATATAACATTGAGGGAATTAGAAAAACTCTCCATGAGCACTACAAGATCATATATGAGGGTTTCGTAGATGACACCTCCCAAGTACGATTTTGTTAATTCCTCTCACATGTTTTTTGTAATGCTCGTGGAGAGTGTCTCTACACCCCTCCATGTTATATTTTGTGGTCTATTTATTCATAGCTTGGTATCAATCCCTTGGTTCTTGTTAAACCCTCATCCAAATATACCCTAAAATAATTTCAAATATCATCTTGTTAAAAAGAAAAACCGATGAATTTGATAAGGATCAATGCACTAAATAAGGTACATATTTAAGAATAAGAACAATTTGGGAATTGAATTCAACTACAATTTTCGTCCTTGCAACAACAATCTATACGGCTGTAGTACATTCCCTCTAGCATCTAGCCACAAAACTTAATTTATATCGAGGGGTGAAGCTGCTTGGAAGCATTCAGTCTATGTAAAACCTTGCCGAAAACATCATAAAATGCAATCTCTGCATCTGTGGGATTCAACTTCACAGACATAAAGCCTTGACCATCATAAAAGAAGTTGAGCCCTTCTTTGTTCAGCTCCTTAACATCTCCCCTCCATGCTTTAGACCCTGCTCCGCTTGTTAGAAACTGTATCGGGCTGCATTTACAGTGGAGTTTCAATCAGCATCATCGTCATGGCGTCACATACAACTTAAGCTTATACTTCACAACTCTCGTTTAGTGTTTAGGATTGGATTGTATGGGATAATCACCACCAGATTCAATGTGTTGAAGCAAGAAATGAATGTTAACTTCCAAAGCTAGTGAGTTATCCAATATCCAGTCCAAGGTACCAAACAAGGCTTTCCAATTTTAAGCAACACCGTGAAAACTACCTAAATTAAACTTCTGTACCTTTCTAAGTCACTAACGTGTTCTAGGCAATGATCGTGCCCGTTCATGTAAAAATCAACGTCATTGGCCTGAGATTTATGAAGGATTTAGCAGAGTTAGCTTTCTTCATATGACATTGTTTCATCACAACTTATTCGTATCAAAGATTTATAGATACACATACCCGAAGAATTGGGAGAAGCTGGTTTATAAGCTCCTGTGTGTCACCATGATGCCCTACACTTCTAATTGCATGGTGTCCAACAACAATCTTCCACTTTGCAGAGGATTTCTCCAATGCCAACTCCACATCCTATTACCACATCAGATATATCAATATGCATAATGGTTTTCATGAAGATGTCAATCTGGCGGTATCCCACGCTAAATACGCACTGCCATGCGTTTTAAGTTTCTCATATTTTAGGCAACATTCAAATTAAAAATTGTAGCAGAAAATTGATCATACCTTCAACAAGTTTGCAATATAAGCCTTTCGAGGGACAATGCCACGCCAATCGTAAGTATGTTCGTCTGCGTTTGTGAAGTACATATCCACCAAAGGCGTGGTGTCCACGAAGAAAATCTCTGCTAGTTCTGGACGAAAACGGATATAGGAAGCAATTGCTTATGAAGTTTTGATCGAGTTTCAAGGGATTTCAATTCATTGTATAGAAAAGATGGAAACTCAAGAGCTCTTATGTTATGCACACCTGTATTCACAACGAAAGACCTCAAGCAAAGCCATCTGCTATCGATTTTCCGGAGGAGGGGGCTCAGTTGAGCCTCTGCATCTCCCCTGTAATCATGGTTCCCCAACACTGGCATTCAAGGTAAACCAAGGATAATTATTATCAAGGTAAAAAATTAATTAAGATTAATGTAATCAATAACAATAAGCATTTTTCATTAACTTTCGAACGTAGGACAACTCTTCACATCATCGCAGGAGACATTTACCGCTATACCACTGCTTTTGCAGGCTCTTTTCTGTATAGATTTTGGTAAATGACTCTTCAAATTCTGTGTCATGCTCGCTGATGAGCCCGTTGTCGTAAAAGTTGTCTCCCGTCGACACCACGAAATCTATGTCAAGTTTCTCTCCAGTCTTTCCCATCTGCAACAAAAGTAGTTGTGCATGTGCCAAAGCGAATTATTATTAGCACTCCAAAAAGGTTGATTCCGTCGAAAATCATGAGAAGAATGTTATACGAATGAGAACAAGGTTTGGAAATTGTGGAAAGGAACCTGAAAGGCAACTTGAGACTGGTTGAAATCTCCTCTTCTTCCCCAGTCCCCAATCACCAAGAAACTGAGTGATCCATCTGGTTTGGTGGGGTGGTCGAATCTCTGCAGTTCTGCAGATGCAATTACCAGACGTAGGGCAAAACTGAGGATCAAGAAAAAAATAGAGGTCCTAGAGTTTTTAAAAGGAATAGCCATGGATGGCTATGGAGTTTATGAGAAAAATCGAACCAAGTGTATATATGAACGAGGCAAAAAGTATAGACTCGATGAATATTTGGAGGTAATCTTCTTCCTCGTATTAAAGTGTCACAGCCCGCTGCCTTTAAATACAACAAGGTTGATAATTACGTAGGAGACAAAGATGCTTAATTATAATTATGAAGATGATGATGCAAAAGGGTTGGGATTAGTTTCCAATTAACTTTGAACTCCGTGATGCGACGTGAGGAATACTGAAGAATATTCTCCGGTCATGCTCAAGAAACTTGAACATGGAATATATTTTCACTGGCGCGTGAATTGGTGAAAATAAATACCAAACTGTCATAATTTTAAACTAGAAATCTCTTCTAATATCGGAACATACAGTTTGTCACGTAAATGTTAGTTAATTTAAAATATTTGTTAGTTTTTTAGGATTCTTTGTGTATAAAATATTGGTTAAATTTGATTGGGTTTGGCAGGGAGAACGTGAGAATATTTAGTTTCATGGATTCTAAATGGTTGGCAGTTCAAAGATAATGTCAGGGTTTTGCAACTTGAGTGAATTATTACACCAAAACAGAGAAGGAATTGATAACGATCCAGACGTCACAGCAAAGGTAGGATGACGAGATGCGAATATGCGCGGGCATATATGTTGGAACCGTTCGAATATTCGGAGGATCCAAATCCAAGATCGGAAAGAACCAGTTTGCCTCCCCACTCGTAGTATGGCAGGCAGGCAGGCAGATGTCATCGTCTCCAAAGTAGTTAGCCAAAATATCCTTCACTTGTTGGATTGGTGACATTGGTCCTTGGATGGATGAATATTTATGTCCGGACCAGTCAGAAACTCATATGGTTAATTAGCGAAGCGCAATAATAATACAACAACACATGGCGTTTTGTTTTTCAAATTTTTTTTCACATCTTCAAGATTATGAAAATAGAAAAGCAATAAGAACACGTGTTGTAGTAACTCTAGTCTATACGTTTATGTCATTACATAAGATTTTGATTAACCTTTTTTTTTTTTTTGATAAAACGATATTTTAAATTACTCTATTACTTGGGTAAGTGGTGGATTATCCTGATGGATAGAGTATTATTCTTCAATCTATTATGTTCCGTGTTAAAAGCTCACCCCTCTCCCATTAATCTATCTTAGGGTAAGAATATCGCGTGTAATGAAAGTAACGAACTATTACACAAAATTAGATGTTAAAGAAAGACATATTGTTCTAATCAACTGAACCTAACCTATAATTCGATTATAAACCTAAAACCAAACTTGGGTTGTGACGTTGTGCCATAAGCTAAAGGGTTAATGGTTTGGGTGCCCAAAATCTAATATGTGAGCTAAAGTAGGCCTTCGTCAGCCATTAAAACCCAAAATCGAATTATTATTTTTTTAGTCGGCCCAAAACTGAGGTCGGTTCGGACACTCGAGAGCTTTATATAACAGCTGAAGGCCCCAAATACATAATTCAATTTCTCATTAGGGATTTGCTTACGTTCCAGAAAGCATATCTAATTGGGGTCACGTTGATTGTCAAGAAACAAACGTCCATAGCTCTCTCAAAAATGCTAAGAGCAGAAGATGAAGACGCTTCAGAACTCAAACTTGGAGACGGTATCTGATTAATTATTATCAATTTCTTTCAAAGTTCTTAATTGGCTGCAATTGCGATTTTCGATCATGACCTAGGCATAAACTTTTGTGTATCAAAATCAAAGGGGCACAAAACCAATAGGCTCTGTAAACATGACATTGTACAACAATGGCGTTCATAATTTAAGATGTGAAACGAAGGATATGGAATATATATTTTTATCTATGGTTTGTGCACATTAATTGAATTTGGGCAAAGATGAACATTATTCCATGAAATTATATCTTTTTTGAAGAAAACACGCTAGAGCATCACTTTTGGACCTTCAAGCACTCAATTTCTCTAACTTACCACCGGATTCAATTGTAAAGCTAGTTTGAATATTCAATTTTATGGTAATATCTGGTCATGATTTGTAACATTGAGATTGTGGTTGTCAGATTTTTTGAAGGCGAAGTGTCTGATGAATAGTGAGGTTGCCATTCTTCTTGAGCACAGATGTGATCAGATGAAGCATATGTCAGGCGAATCAATGCACCAACTTCCCCAGTAAGATTTAATTCTAGTACTCTTTGACATCAAAATCTTGTACAAAATCATGGATTATCAGTTCATATATAGTTAGCTGGTAGATAGAAAGGGTGCTCGTCAATTTTTTTGTTTGTCCAGGCTTATAAATTTACTGATCAATTGTTATTTTCATGGCCAGAGTGCTGGAGAAATCACTGCAGTATGTTAAGTGCTTCAGTCGCTTCACGAATCAGGGCTCTGTGAAGCAAGTTCGAGAGTATCCTTCATTGATGATGTAATTTCAGATATCGTCACGCTGTTGAATTAGCTTATGCATGGTCTGGTGAAATCTTTAGGATTCATGTTGGTTCAATACAAGCATGCAATGCCTTTATAATGGAGAAACTTAATATTGATATAGGTTATCTAACTGCACTTCTTAATTTAATTATAGTGTTCTTCTTTTCACTATATATCATTTATACATGTTCAATCCTTAAGTATTATTCAGAGTTCTCAGTAGATACCAGTTGGCTGAATTCGAGGTAATGGACGAAGAATCAAAAGAACAAATTACGCTTCGTTTTAGGTAATAGCCTTCATATTTTCTCTACTCCGCAGCTTGCAGTGATTGGAAATCTTTGTCCTGAAACTGTGGAGGAAGCCAAGGCAGTTGTGCCTTCCCTCAAGGTAGTGTTGTAAATCTCATGTTTCATGTCTACATATCTCAGCTTACAACAAGGCAAATATTTATATCTCAGCATCGCACCACTTCGTGTGCCCGCTTGATAATCTTGTGGTTTTTAATTAGTTTTCAGTATTTGGCGTTATATGGCAACTTTGTTTATCTTTACTTTTCTTATTATGTTAAGATGGTGTATGTATGTCTGCAAAAACTAAATTGTGATGAATTTCCTGTCTGATCAAACTGCAGACGAAAGGACGTGGGCACGATGATGAAGCCATTGAGAGACTGTTGAATGACCTAATGATGATTAAAAAGTTTGAGTGAATATATGCTTCACTGTTTTGGTTAATTGATTTTCTCAACCCTTGGTGAGTACTATGCTTATTTCTACTTCAAGTTCAACTTGATCTAAAATGTGTAGCTAATTTCTCTCTTCAATATGTACATTGAACTTGGATAATTAACCTACCAGTCAGCAATTTTTGGTTAGGCGAGCGATTGAGACATTAGACACATTAATTAGGGTGCAAGGAAGCACCTAACCTACTCACATGGACCTGTCTAGCCCGTTGGTCTTGGCTCATGTCTTAGGCAGGCTTAGCATCGATCTGGTCCAATACTCTTATTTTTCCATTTGAATTTGGTCCGATCTTGGCCTATACGAGAAGTTCTAGCATCCGGACACATGCCAGAATTTCTCTACCTATGCGCCTGAAAGCCATAACTTCTCGACCGATACGCTCCAGGCTCAATCTTGTTAAGGGTTGATCTTATCGATGCTTCTTCTTATTGTTTTTTAATTGAAGCATCAATTAAGAAATTTTGGCAAACTGAGTACATGTTCAAATTGTTTAATGGCTAAACAGACACTCACGGAATCTCGTACTCCTATTCTCCTTAGAATTTAGTTTTCTTTAATCAGTTCCTGTCCCTTGCAATTAATTAATAATACAAGAAAGAAACTATTTGTATTTGTATTGGAGAAGGATTCAAACATGCATATCTAACGTCTTATCCAACCATACATACTTAAATTCTTCACTATATACATGACTTAAATTAAGTTGAGCATATAACCCAACTCTACCTTTTGTTTGGTGTATTTTGTTTTGGTTGTGGTTTTGTTGTATGTGCCTGGCAAAAGACTATGTCGATTTCTCTGTGTTGTCTCATAGCAGGGCTTCTTTGCTAAGGTGCAACGTCGTGTGCAAGTTTATCAGAAAGTGTTGCAAAGGTTTTGCCCTCATGAGCGTATCTTCTAATTGGTACGATGTGGTTATGTGGGTTGGGTTTTGTTTCGTCTTTTTGTTGCGTTTGTAATCCGGGAATTTATTCATGAACCATGATGTTATCTTATTCTATTGTTTAGTGAAATTTCTACCTTAAAAAAAAAAAAGACATGCTTACCAAAGTGTACAACAAGGACTTGGATTCTCTCTTCGGATCTCCCTTTTCAGCTCATTTCCTAAACTTTAATGTTGATCGTTCATGCAATTTGTCAGGCCACGAATCAATTTCAATTTCTTCTTCTTTTTCACGCTACACGCAAAATGATCTTTTCGCGAACGGTTAGGATTGAGTTTTGTAAAGAATTCTGATGAGGGAGATCCGAAGAGAATCTGGACCCCAAAAGAAGCAGCCCTCATAAAATTAACAACAACATGCAATTCAATATGGGTGTGTATGTGAATAAGTGATGGGTCAGAGTAGTAATTATGTGTGTAGGTGTAGCGGTCCCGCCCTGTATAGCCTGTGGAAAGAAAAGGGAGGACCTGGTGGTTCCATCCACTCTCCCGAATGTTACTCCTCAATTCAAACCTTACCTGACAGACTGACACCTCTTAATAATAAAGAAAATTTTAGTTTAATCTGTCCGGGAACAATTAGAACTAACTAGTACAAGAGAAGATAATAATAACAATTTGATTCTTATTTTTTGTATGGGAATTCTACTTTACCTTTTAAAAAGACGGTATTGGTGTCCAATATTAACTATATATGGTGAGGTTACAAAAATGGTATTTGTTTGTAACACCATTAAGGTTGATTGTTACATTTTTAACATCTTGATATAGTATAAAGCAACACAATAATAAGAATTATCCATTATCGTTATTTATATTTGCGCTACTTTCTTTGCATTTAATGATCTTACAACATAACATTAACATTCAATGTGAATTACAAGTAAAGATAAAATCAAGCCATAGTTGTCAAAGTTTATAGTCCAAAGCAACAAAATAATGATAAAGTTATAATTAATAACACAAAATGACTTAATGAATAATGTAACAAGTTTGGATTTTACGTTGTAGATGTCATATTACATTACACTGTCAAAGTAGAATGCTATGGAGGAACAGATTAAAGGTACCAATTTGGCTATTAAGTTGTAGGCTAACTATTGTGTGATATTCATTATGTTAAAATTATGTGAGTTACAAGACTGCAAGGAGTTAATTTTGGTGTCAGCTGGAGAAACTGAGGGAAGTTGCAGGACTGAAGGAGAAGAAGGAGAAGGAGAAGGCAGGCAGGCAAGAAAGAGAGAAAGACAGGTTCCCAGTATGCATGTATGCATATATACACATAACTTGCTATAAAGCAGAGGAACGTCTACATCCCTTCTCGGTATTCCATGAGATGTGAAAGCTCAGGGACATCCAGTTTATGCTGCTATCAACTCTCTCTCTCTCTCTCTCTCTCTCTCTTGTTGATTTATGACCAACCCAATGGGGCGGTGGTTGATTTCAATTTGCCTCGGGGTCGGGGGGCTGTGTGTGAATAATAAGAAGCAGAAGAAAGAAAGAGAAACAAGGAAAAGTCAAAAGAACTCAAATCCCAAACAAATTCAAAGGGGAGGGGCGCAGTGGCAAAACCCTAATTTTCATAATTTCACCATAAAGAAAGACAGACATAATTCACAGGAGCCTAGATAGCTACAGGTAGCCCTTCTTTTTTATTTTGTCAATAAAGCGTTGGAATTGCTGTATAAAGTGTTGTCTTTGTGTGTGGTTTCTCTCTCCTCTCCATCAATCATAAAGCAATCGATTGCAAAATCATTTCTCGTGCATCTTTTCTTTTCTTTTGTTTGCTGTGCCCACTCAAATCAATTCTACTACTGTTTCCCTTGAAACTGACGTCCTACGTACCCTTCCTTTTTTAATTAAAAATACTTAGATAACACGAGTACATCATTATTATGACACGAGTATCATTCTTAAGGGTCTTGGGGATTATGTAATCATATTCGTTCATCGTACATCGTGTGGTCAAAAATTATTTTAAATTTAAATTTAAAATTAAATATAAATAGTACTTAACTAAAATTGACCGTACGATGTACAATGAACGGACATAATTACACGATCCCCGAGATTCTTAGGAAAAGGATCCAACGAGGATCATTTTCCTTATTTATTGACACAAAACTTTGCGTAACGATATATGAGAAATTCTAAAAAGACTCTCTCAAAGTGAGACTCTCTATGGACTCTCTATCACCTCATATTTTTTGCACAACTTCTTATAATGTTGGTGGGGGAATTGTGCCAAAAACATAAGGTGGAGGAGAATCCACAGAGAGTTATACTTTTGATAATTTCCTTAGCATTTCTCATGTTAGTATTATGTAAGTTGTTCTCCCACCTTCCCCATTTGTAACTTTAATCTCCAGTTCCCAGTTAATAAATAAACTAATTGGCCAATACTTATACTAGCTCCACTGTATCCCCCCACTTGACTCAAGTCAGTGTAGACATGCCTTTCTAGCACAAAACTGAACTAAATTGTGCTAATGCTCTTATGATCGTTAATTTTTAACTCTAATTGTGGATGTCGAGTTTTTATTCTTCAGTGTTTAATTAGTAGTATTTAACTCGATCATTCATCGCATGCAAGAGAGGTATTGAGCTTGATTTACCCTTTTCTCCAATACCACTTTTATCTAGAAAAACATATGTATGCAAGTTAGTTGTGTATATGCGAAAGTTTTTAAGTACACCTATGTCATACATACATTGCAGAATTTAATTGTTCGCTGAAGAATCCAAGAAAATTCAGGATTGATATGACTCATATCAGCCACTTAACATGTACTGGTAATTATACATTGATGAATTCATGTTCTCTTAATCACCTAGTAATCAAGTATATCAGCCACTTAACATGTATTGTTAATCTCAACTTCTAATCATATAAAATTTATGAGTGAGTGACCAAATGTTTTGATCACTAAGTGGCCAAAGAGAACATTTCTCTACATTAACTGTTGTATAGTAATATGAAGAGTCGTTTTGAGTGCATGTGCATCCTCTACTAAACTTCTAAATCTAACCATAGGAAACACTTTTAAAGAAAAGAAAAAAAAAGTAAAAAGATAGTCTATTGGGATGTTGAGTGGAGTGTTGCAATCACAATAACTCTAGTTAGGGGTGTGCTATCTACACATCCCTTGTTACTTTTTACATATTCCTCTCAATTTTCAGTTGTCGGATCAAATAAATTGAAAAAGATCAAAGAATAAAAGTTAACAATGGCTGTGTGAGAAGTAAAAAGGTGTATGGATAGCACATCCCTAACTTTAACAGTACTGCATAATTGAACAAGTTTGTGTAAAAGTATCCAAGTAGAAATAAATATCTGATCGATCTCAATCGACATTTATGTATAAGAACAATTGCTAGGCTTTAGTTAAATTGTACTTAGGCTTTGCACTGAATATAAATACTCTTCTTATAAATTAGAGCTTTAAAATATCGCGTGATAAAAAGAAACAAATTAATGAGAAGTTTTAACGAAAAACCCACGATACTGTTCACTTTAACGAAAAACCATATTTTTACACTAAAAGATCAATCATGGTACTATTCACTTTACATTTTATTTTGTCCTTATTGTTAAAACTAAACTATTCACTTTACCTTTTATTTTGTCCTTATTGTTAAAACTAAGTTTTCAAGTCATTTTCATTAGTTTTCCTGTTAATTAAGCCTATAAAGTATTGAAACTAATATTCGATGTGGAGTGGTTGTAGATTGCATTCTAACTATGTGTGTCTTGAGTTTTGAGTCAAACGTGAACTTGCATAAACCAAGATCAATTGAACACATAAAACAAACTCAAACAGCACAGAATTTCTGCGGTTCAATCAAATCCTATCTACTTGAATGGATGAGAGAGAAAAGTGAGGTCGAGAGGGCTTGGAATGTAAACAATTTTTTTTTTTTTAAAATAATGCCCTCATTTGTCAGAGAAGATTGTCTTAGATAGGATTATTACTGTGATGAGGCATTTTAAAGAAAGAAATTGATGTTTATTTTGTCCAAATTAAAGGTAATTTTTAACTTGAACAAATCTGGAAGTTGTCATCCATATGTTCAAATAGATCGACCTTGATATAGATGAGGGACTTGCAAAATCATTAGATACAATACATGAGAGTCATTTGTGTAGCGTATTTGTACTGTTTTAGTATTAGCTTCTGTATTTTTCTTAGGACTTTGAATGTCTCTCGTTGGAACATACCCCCAAATTAAAATTGAAATTACATATCCGGCTGGCCTGTTGTTTTGCCGAAAGGGTCCATGGCTAGCTATCTAATTATCATTAGATGGTGGACCTGTTGCCTAAGAAAGGCTGGCTGAGGGAGCTTCTAAGAAAGGTAAGATTGTAAGAAGCAGGGCAACATTCAGTTGTGGGTCTCAGCACGTAATTTCCAACACCAGCTTTCCTCCTCCTTCTGCCCTTGTCATGATTAATGACCTCAAGATGAAGTACGTACCTTGCTACCAATCGTAAGCTACAAGGACCTGAAGATGAATCAGTATTGCATGAGAGATCTGACGGGATTTAGTGCATGTGAGTTGGTAGAGTTTTTGAAGTTTATGATAGAGATCTACACATTGAAAGTGATATCTAATATGATTTTCATTTGTCAAGCGTTTAGTTATATGAGTCGCTTGAGCTGTTCAATGCATATGGAATGTCTAATCTATAGCTAGAGATGCCTTTTTCTGTATTAATGAAGAATTGGAAAGTGACACTCTTTATATATGTGATTTTCTCAAGAGCAAAATGGAGGAGTAGAAAATAATTGAAGAATAATTACTAATTTTGAAGAACAGAGTATCGTTTAATTTAATTTATAAAAACAAATTAATGTGTAGGGTTGGGTTTTGGGTGACCACCCTGACCAGTAGTGTTGACCAAATATACAAGGTTCATTGTGTGCATCTCGGTTTTTGGAAAGTGAATGTGTATTATCTCAGTAGGTAGAAATAGAAGCTGGCTAATCATTCCATTTGCAAAATATGGATGTCGTTAGTTAACTATGGAAACCAAATCTCCTTGATTTCTGTGTTAAAGGGTGTTTAATTAGTCAATTTTGTTACTTATTATATGAAAAAGCAAAGTCCTCATCAACAGTACCTGTTTTTCTTTACCTAAACTTGTCTGGTGCGTTGATGGAAATTTTAAAGTTGAACATTATTTGTGAACATTTTGGTAACA